TGTTATTGTTGTTATTGTTGTTGTACATAAATAAGAGTAAATATATCACAGTATAGAATAAATACTACATTACTGGTACAAACACATTAATAAGTAAACAGGTTCTGGCTGTAAAATCATAAATAAAAATGAAAACAGACATTTTATAAACTGCAGATTAAATGAACAACCCTAACTCTTCCTCTCAGCTCCGTCATTAAATCACTGAAACCTGCAGTCAGCTTCTGTCTCTGTGTTTCTGTGGGCAGTGATTGTTAAGGTGGAACTGCTTTATTCAGTGATTGTTAAGGTGTAACTGCTTTATTCAGTGTGTTTAAGGTGGAACTGCTTTATTCAGTGTGTTTAGTGGTTTTAATCAGCGGGTCTGTTTGTGTTGGAGAGGAGGAGACCTCTGTGGATCATTGGGCTCCCGGTAGAAACCTCCTGAACCATGAACACTGAAGGAATCCTAACCAGGAGAAGCTGACTGCAATGACGCCAATGGTGGTGAAGACAACAACTCCCATGATCCCACGCTGCTTTACCACCTCATTGTTTTAGTGGCAGAAATGATTGTAGGTTTTAATAAAATGCAGTTTTTGTCTCTTCAGACGTAGAAGTAGATATTTGGAGTCAGATGATCTTCGTCCTCATCAACCTCACTGTGGTCCTCACACTGATACACACTCCACAGGGAGTTTGTTGCTGAAAGATCAAACGAGAAGAAACTCTGAACACAATGAATTCCTCAAAGACGCCCCAGGAAAATGTAAATTATATAAAATATATATAAATATAAAATATTGGTAATCCACTTAACTGCTGCTGTTAGCTGCACAGCCTCCAGCTGCTGGAGCTCAACATGCAGATTAATGCTGCACACTGTGTGAAAGGATCTGCTGTCTGCTGGGAAAGTCTGTTTCTATTAGAGTCCAAACTACAGTAAATACAGTAAACTTTATCTCATATGTTTTCTAATGATGCCAAACTGCCTCATCTCGGCTCTCATTTTAACCTTTAATATGAAACATGACCCGACCAGCAGTCAGCAGCCTCCACTGTCAGACCCAGTGACCGAATATAAACAATTCACTTCAGTTTCATCTCTGCTGGACACAAATTACAGGTTGTAAGATTACAAATGTGAAAAATATGTTGCATATAATTTTCCTAATAGTCAGTGAAACAGGAGGGTACGAAGGAGGGAGATAAATGAGGTAGAAATTAATGTTATATTATTATATTTATATGATTCACAACAAATGTTGTTTAATAAATGTTCCTGATTTAGATTGGATCATTATTGGTAAAGGAGCTCTAGTGGAACCTTTCAGACTCTATGGATTATAGACTGTTGGTTTATGCTCAGTTATACAGCCGTTGGCACTAATCTATGTTTCTACATTAGTTTATTATTTATTCCTGTTGTTTGATGTTTGCTGCAGTGTTACTGGTGGAACAGTTATGTTTGTCTTTTCTTGTTGTTTGGATGTGAGAGACCCTGAGGAGGTGGCATGGGGGGGGGGTATTAAGGGCTTCTACTGGCCTTGGAGGTTTATTTTGGATGGACATTAGAGATAATACGGAAGCCCATTTCAGCCAGTAAAATAAGACAAATAAGACAAAATCTTAGCCTTAATAATGGTTATGTGATGTCACAATTCTGAGATAAAAAGTTGCAATTACAAGATAAAGTCGTAATTATAAAATAGAAAGTCGGAAATCACGATAAAAAATCTAAAATTACAAGATAAAAAGTCAAAATGACGGGATAAGTCGTAATTATTATATAAAATTGAAAATATGAGGTTAAGTAATAATTACGAGATAAAAAGTCAAAAATATGATAAAAAGTTAAAATTGCGAGATAAAATTATTCGATTTACCCTTAATTCAGTTTTCACTGTATATTTTTATTTTACTGGCATTAATGTGCTTCCATAGAATAAGGATGAATGCAGTGTATCTTCCACTCGGCGCCCCCCTGAGGAAGCTGCTGAATGTGCAGATCCTGTAGTTTCACCAGAGTCAACAGGATGTCCTGATCAATCAGTTAAAGTTTGTTAATCCAAACGCAGCGGAGAAGAACATCCGTGCTGTTGAGTTTAAAACCTTCACATATGTTGGACGTGATTCTGATGAAGAGGAGACATTTTTCAACTGAAGTCAGAGACTTTATAGTCATTGTGTCTCTTCAAAGCCACCAGACTCCTTTGATAAAACCAGTGATTTTAGTTCTCAGAGCACAGATGGAGGCAGCGGAGAGCAGAAACTACTGTTAGTGTTTGTGTTGCTGTGACTTTGGTGTTTAAACACATTCATTTGGATCCAGACTAACGTTAGTCGCAGCAGATCGAGGCAGCAGGAGACCAGACTGCGTTCACTGAGGTTAAATCCCTGCTTTTATCAATGGAGTCTGGTGGCTTTAAAGAGAAATATCTGAATAGGACGGCTTCAGTTCCTGTCAGAAGGGCCGACAGCGAGCTAAAGTGCTAGAAATATATAATATATAACAAATATTATAAACATAGCAAACGTGATTTTTTTAACAGGCTACGTTTTTTTTATCCTTAAAAACTTCTTTTCGATAAGAGCTCCTCGTGGTTCCTCAGTTTGATCCATTTGAGCCACCGTAGTTTTCTTGTCTCAGAGCTGAGTTAGTTAGCTTAGCTACTAACAGCTGACCATGCTAACTGCAGTTAGCGGTTAGCTACTGATCAATCTGTCCATCAGAAACTCTGTAACTGACCTCTGTACTGTAACGTTATTCCCTGTCTCGGAGGCTGCGTTCGATCCCGGTCCGGCTGCTGAGCCCGGTTCTGTCGCTCGCTAACGGCAGATACAGTTAGCAGCGGTTAGCTAATTTAGCTAAAGCTATCTGTCCATCAGAAACTCTGTGAATCTCAGAGAGCCAGAAAATATTTACTCCTTAAAATCTGATCCAGTTTCACCAAAATCACTGAATACAGTTCATGCTAACTAGCTAATGTAGCTATACAGTAGTGCTGTGTCTCATTCCGCCTTCTTGAACACTTCAAACAATATAACAAATATTTTCAATTCAATTTTAATTTTCAATTTTATTTGTATAGCGCCAATTCATAACAGAAGTTATCTCAGGACACTTTTCAAATAGAGCAGGTCTAGACCGAACTCTTTATAACATTATTTACAGAGACCCAACAGTACCACCATGAGCAAGACCTTAAAACGCTCCAATTAATTCAGAACGCTGCAGCACGAGTACTGACAGGAACTAGAAAAAGAGATCACATCTCTCCTGTACTAGCTACTCTGCATTGGCTCCCTATAAAATATAGAATAGAATTTAAAATCCTCCTCCTCACCTATAAAGCTCTTCATGGTCAGGCCCCTTCATATCTTAAAGAGCTCATAGTACCCTATTACCCCACTAGAACACTACGTTCTCTGAATGCTGGGCTACTTGTGGTTCCTATAGTCTCTAAAAAGTAGAACAGGAGCCAGAGCCTTCAGTTACCAAGCTCCTCTCCTGTGGAACCAGCTTCCAGTTGTGGTTCGGGAGGCAGACACCCTCACCACATTCAAGAGTAGGCTTAAGACATTCCTCTTTGATAAAGCTTATAGTTAGGGCTGGATCAGGTGAGTCCTGAACCATCCCTTAGTTATGCTGCTATAGGCCTAGACTATCGGGGGATTTCCCATGGTGCACTGAGCTCCTCTCTTCCTCTCTCTTTCTGCACTCATTCATGTTCCATTAATGCATGTTACTAACTCCACTTCTTCCCCGGAGTTCTTGTGCTTTCTCGTCTCGCAGGTTCTTATCGATCCTGGTGGAGCCTCCTGCCATGGTCCTGCTAGATTGCCATTGCCAATACTGTTGTTGCTGTGCACCTGTCTGTCTGTCTGTCTCTCTCTGTCTCTCTCTCTCTCTCACCCCAACTGGTCGAGGCAGACGACCACCCACCTAGAGCCGGAGGATCTGTCCTAGGTTTCTGCCTTTTAACAGGCAGTTTTTCCTTGCCCTTGTCTCCAAGGTCTTGCTCATGGTGGTACTGTTGGGTCTCTGTAATTAATGTTAAAGAGTTCGGTCTAGACCTGCTCTATTTGAAAAGTGTCCTGAGATAACTTCTGTTATGAATTGGCGCTATACAAATAAAATTGAATTGAATTGAATATATAAATATAGATAAATATTAATATAAATAAATATAATTAAATATAAATAAATATAATATAAATATAAATATAAATGTATAAATCTGAATAAATATAAATATAGATAAATATAAATATATACATATATATATATATATATATGTATATATATGAGCTCAGTTTCGCTGTTTTTACGTCACTAACCAGCTGTGCGTATGTGAGAGATTTATGCTGCTGGTAGTCGTATCTTGGTTTTAACTTTTAATTTGTTCAGTCTGTGAGGCTTCCTGCTGAATTACTGCAGCTTCATCAACGTCATCATCATTGCCATCGTCTTCATTATCATCATCGTCTTCATCGTCGTCATCTTCATCATCATCATCATCATCATCGTCATTGTTATCTTCATCTTCATCATCTTCATCATGCAGGCCGCAGGTTTTGGTTGCTTAGTAAAGACAACAGCGACAGTCGACAACCTCCGAAGCGCATTGGATAAAAGGAGGAAATCTTCTGCCAAACTCTGATTTTGACTTAATGGATACTTTTACTGTAAAAATGATTCTGTAAGTCATTATAATGAGAAACTCAGGAGTCTAGATTACTGACAATATATAACATAAATATCAGCAACAGCTGAGGATTTCTAGAAAATTGTGACGCATGTTGAGACGTTTTTTTGCAATTAAATTAAATTACAGGACAAAGAAGCAACTTGTTTCACTGAGACAGATCGGTTGAATTTGAGATAATAAGTTAATGATTTGAGATAATAAGTTAATGATTTGAGATAATAAGTCATTATACTGACAGACTCCGTTGGCGCTGGCAGGCTTTCTGTCAGTTTGAGAGTTTCAGATGAAATGTGAGCCGCTGATTCCGTATTAATAAAACTATCTTTTAATGATTCACTTCAGGGTCTGTGCAGAAACGCACTACAAAGATTACATCTTATCAACATAGAAAAACATTTGAGTTTCTAAATAAAAGTCTGAGGCCTGAGCGGGTCCCTCTCACACCCGGGTCCACAAACACAGTCCGGTCCCTCTCACACCCGGGTCCACAAACACAGTCCGGTCCCTCTCACACCCGGGTCCACAAACACAGTCCGGTCCCGGTGAGATCCGGGTCCAGGTCTACGTGTTCGTCATGCCTTTCTTGAGTTCGGGGCCACGCAGCCGGCAGTCTCTGGCCGCCGCCTCGGCCCTCTGCAGCATCGTCTGCTGTAATCCATTTAGATGTGAGGCCAGCTGAGAGCCGGGGCTGGCGTGCAGGGGCCCCAGGGGGCCGTATCCGGAGTATCCGGGGGGGAGGAAGGGGGAGGAGTAGTAGAGGTGTCGGGGGAGGGCGGGGCTGTGTGGGAACAGGGTCCGGGAAGAGTCAGTAGATCCTTTATCCGAAGACGTGGCGATCTCAGCCAGCGACCACAGTTTGGGTTTGGGGGCCGGGTTGGCGCCGCAGGAGTTGGTGTGCTCTTTAGATGGCGGGCTCGACGTGCGCTCCGGTGCCGGCGGGGGGGTGTTTTGAGGAGGCGGCGCCCCCGTGGAGGCAGGGCCCGGGATGCGAGGCTGCCTCCGGTCTCCCGAGTCTTTAAAGTCCGGATCGGTGAAACCTCGATCGGTGTCGCTGCCGCTGTCGTCCCTGAACATCAGGTCCACTACGGAGGGGGGGCGGGGGGCTGGAGACACACACACATAATCCATATCTGTATCATCAATTCACCTGCTGATCATTTATTGATCAGTTTGGGTTGTTTTAGTTTGAAACATCAACAAACAAACCAAATACAAAATAAACAGAATTAACGACATCAGCCGATCAGGTTATCAATGAATCCTTTAACAGATAGATTGAGATATTGATTGTAGTAAATCACTTTCTGACGGATTCATTCAATAATTAATCAATAATGAAAATCAGTAGCTAATCAATAACTGCAGAGTTACAGATTTAATTTAAATGTTCCTATTTATAAAAACTGACTTTAATAAAATTAATTATACATAAATAATTTACATCAGTTAAATAAATCTGTTTATATTTTATACATAATAATAATAATTCATATTTATGATAAACTGTGTCGATCTTTATTGATCAGCAGCTACAGAGAAAGACATCAGTACTAATACAACTATATAATTATATATAATTATATATAATACAATGCATTAATAATATATAATCTTATTTTACTGCAGTAAAGTATCTGATTACTTCCTCAACAGACATTTATATTATATGAATTAATATATTATAATATAATAATATAATAATGTAATATAATAATATATATTGTAATAATATTAAAATATGAGAAATAAAAGAATAAAATCTTCATGATTTAGTTTTATTATGAAACTCTTTCTGTCCTGTTAAATGTTTGTAAATAATAATAATTGTGATTATTGATTATTGATGGCTATTAATTCTTTGACTCTTTGATCAGGATATATGACGTTTATAATGAGCTGTTATTGATCTGTGGAGGGAGATAATAAACCACAGCAGGACAATAATGACACAAATATGATTCACTGAATTATTGATGAATTGATGAATTGATTAATAATATAATAAAAATCAAACAGAAGTAAGAACAAAGATCTCTGAGTGAGTCGTCCTCTCACCGGTTTCTCCCTTCGACTCCGGCTCCTCGTTGTTCGGCCTCACTGGCTCCTCGTCCTCGTCGTTCCTCTCCAGGTCGATGTTGTCCTCCTCCTCCTCGTCCTCGCTGCGGTTCCGTGGCGTCCACGTCATCTTGTTCTCTTTCTTCAGGCGCCGGCGGGCGTTGGCGAACCAGGTGGACACCTGGGTCAGGGTCATCTTGGTGATGATGGCCAGCATGATCTTCTCCCCCTTGGTGGGGTACGGGTTCTTCCGGTGCTCATTGAGCCAGGCCTTCAGCGTGGCCGTGGCGTCCCGGGTGGCGTTCTTCCTGTAGGTGGGGTCTCCGTACGGGTAGGGCCCCAGGGCCCCAAACGGGTGGTAGTCCAAGGAGCTGGAGAGTCCCGAGGACGGATCATAGCCGGGACTCTGAAACAGATAAACCTCTTTAATGTGGTGATCAGTGATTGAGACGCTGCAGCTTTAATGGCAGCGCTCTGTCGGCAGCTCGCCTCGTTAGAGGAGATCTCTAATCGTAACGGCTGACGGTTAAATAAAGGTTTAATTAAAAGCCACAAAGACACAAACAGAATTTAATTTACACTGAGGATCCAGAACGAGGCCACAAACACTCCCACACAATCCTCCTTTAATTAATTCACTTTAATTAATTCACTTTATTTTATTTAACAACTGTTTCATAAGTTTAGTGGACTTTAGTTTGAATACCAATCAATAATAAATATTATCAGTAACACAAATTAATGAAGTGGAACCAACATAAAAAAGCTAAAAAAAAAAAAAATAGTTTATTAAATCCAAATAAATCGGATTGAATTAAACATATAAAAGTCTTTTTTTATAAACTCTACATTTAATAATGAATAATATGAATAACTGATAACTAACCTGTAACATTAAACTCACTTTAAATTAATAATAATAATAGTATTATTATTAATAATAATAATAATAGTAATAATAATAATAATAATAATATTATTATTAATAATAATAATAATAATAATAATAATAAAGTTGATTTAATAAACTGTAAATAATAAAACTAATAATCTGATGTTATTATTAAAATGATAAAAATATATTTTAAACACTTTAAAGTTCAGCTTTTTACGCACTGAGCGTCATTACGCACCGATTACCTCAGACTCTCAGAACCAGAACCAGGAGCGGACACTTACCACGAAGGAGCTGAGGGTGGCGGCGGCCCGGGGCTCCCCGCCGTACGGGAGGTGGGAGTTGAATCCGGGAGAGGTCGCCGGTCCCGAGTACGGAGCGAAGGCTGAGCCCTGAGAGGAGCGACCCAGCTCCTCCGTCCTCGGTCCTAACATGACCCCGGTACCGAAGGACGGGCAGGAGGAGTGCAGAGCCAGAGACACGGACGGCTGGAACAGGAAACCCTGAGGATAAGACATGACGGCGCACGGAGCCGGACTATTACGCACCGACCAACTCACATCGGACGGAGAAAGCGCGCGTCTCCACGGGACAGCGGAGGGAAGAGAAGGAGGAGAAAAGGAGGGAAGAGAAGGAGGAGAAGGAGGAGGAGGTTTAACAGCGGAGGAGCATCCGGGAGCATCGCAGGGCTGCTGGGACCAGATCCTCAACACCGCTTCAGACTTCCGGCTGCTGCTGGACCCGATCCGATCTGAACCGTCCTGAAGACTGGAGAGAGAGAGAGAGAGAGAGAGAGAGAGTGTGTGTGAGAGAGAGAGAGCGAGAGAGAGTGTGTGTGAAAGAGAGAGCGAGAGAGAGAGAAAGAGAGAGAGAGAGTGAGAGAGAGAGAGCGAGAGAGTGTGTGTGTGAGAGAGAGAGAGAGCGAGAGAAAGAGAGAGTGTGTGTGTGAGAGAGAGAGCGAGAGAGAGAGAGTGTGTGTGTGAGAGAGAGAGAGAGAGAGAGAGAGTGTGTGTGTGAGAGAGAGAGGGTTGGAGAGAGAGAGAGGGAGAGAGTGTGTGTGTGTGTGAGAGAGAGGGGGGAGAGAGAGGGAGAGAGAGAGAGTGTGTGAGAGAGAGGGGGGAGAGAGAGAAAGAGAGAGAGAGTGTGTGTGTGAGAGAGAGAGGGGGGGAGAGAGAGAGAGAGAGGGAGAGAGTGTGTGTGTGAGAGAGAGGGAGAGAGAGACAGAGAGGGGGGGATAGAGAGTGACAGAGGAAGAGACAGAGGGAGAAAGAGAGAGAGAGAGAGTTATAATAATAATAAATAATAAAATTCCCCAGCTGATAGACAGCTGATCAGACTGATTGATAATCAATAACCTGAGGAAGAGGAAGATGGTTGTGGTTGTAAAACTAAAAATAAAACCTTATTTTTTATCTTTTTTCAGGATAACAGTTTGACTGTGACTTACTTAGAAAGTAATTTGATTACCTTCCAACAGTAGTTACTCTGGTAGTTATATTACTGGTTTCATTGAAACTTCCCCATAAGACTCCATACTATCAGAGTGCACTGCCCCCTGCTGGCTGTCAGAGAGACTGCAGTGCAGGGCCAGATTAACACTTCACTGTACCCTGGGCAACAATATTGAAGGGCCCCATAATCACGACCCCGGGATCACCATAATCTGGTAATACAGAATAAATGACAGTAATATACAGTACTCTTTTCATGATCACTAATCCTCTCTGGATGTTTCCAATCACAGAATCTGCTATTAAATGTATGCTTTTGGGATGACAGGAGTTTGCAGGCATAGCAATAGACTGATCCAGTTGATGGCGAGTAAAGAAGCATTCCCTTGGCACAATTTCATTGTTTGGGAGACGGCAATGAAGCAGATCGTTGGTGAGGGAGCGTGTCCAACTCCCAAGTCCGGACTCCCTCACCGATGCAGAATACTTGGCAGCCCGGTTCTGGAAGCTGCAGGCCCTCAGAAGATCGCAGTGAAGAATTGTCCTGGCTAGCTGAGCTGTCCTCGTTGACGGATGCTGCCTTAGCAGAACAGTTGCTAGGGCTGGCTATCGGTACTTGATACCTTTCAGTTATCGACCGAAACAACCCGGTACCAAGTAGTATCGAAACGATACCTTCAATCGGTTCTTTTTGTACCCACTAACCAGATCAAGAAAAAAATGACTGTTTCTATGGTTTTGCTTTGTACGGCGGTAAAGCGTGCGCCCTTAGTCTGTGGCGGAGTTGGCTGCTCCGCATTCCGAGATGCCGGCAGCAAAACGTTCAAAAGTATGGTTGTACTACACAAATAGACCATATGTTTTCCTGTCTGACCTATCAACACATGGCTAATTCTAATATTCAAATGAGCCATGTGTTGATTCCACAACAAAAACATTACAATTTAAAACCGGATCATACCAAACAAATATCTGCTTGCGTGTCCCCGTGTATGTAAAGTGTCCTCCTTTTGGATGTGCAGGAAACCCTAACACGGAGCAACCGTCTATAACTTCAGGTAATATATAATTTTATATATATATAATATATATAAATATATTATAATTCTTCGTTGTACATGTTTGTACAGTTATTAAATAAATATTTGAGCACTTTCAAAATGTATTCATGTAAAAATCTTTTGAATGGGGAGGAGTGGTGACATTTACGGAACGGATTACTTTTTTTTTTAAAGTTGAAAAAAAGTATCGAATGAAGTACTCAATTGGTATCAGTATCGTGTTAAGGCTACTGGTATCGGTACTGGTATCAAACATTTTTAAACGATACCCAGCCCTAACAGTTGCTAACGTTTACTAGCGTGAAGAAATTCCCTATTTTCGGTATATATTTTAAATTTCCTGCGTTCCTGATATCCTTCTCCTTTTTTAATTTCCGTTTAGCACTGCCACTTAGCTTCTCCATGTTTGCATTTTTTGAGTTGTGTTGTGTAGCGGTGCTTGACGTCATGCGACCTGGTCGCTCAGTGCACGTTGGTTGGCGTCACCTTTGACCTGCCTCATACAGGCTGACCAATGAGGAGAGGGTCTCAGCTCACAGTCACAGGCAGCCAGGGGCCATATAAGTGCAGCGCAACGGCTCCGGCGGACAGTTTAACATTGCAATTGCCCAGTTGCCCATATGGTTAATCCGGCCTTGAGTCAGTGGATCAGTGGCCCCCGGTGGCCCCCGACCCTCAGGTTGGGAACCAGCACTGTAATCACATTCATTAATATTTATCTTTATTTACAATATATGGGAGTAATCAAGTTACTTTAGTAACTATATCTGATTACATTAGTATTATTAAAGAAACTAATATTTAATAAAAGGATATTTTATTTCTTCTTTACAAGATTATTAATGAAGATTTTAAATTGGTGGTAACAGAAACTCAGTTTTTAGTAAATCTATGAAATATATCCACCAGGGCTGCACAATTAATAATCAATATAATTAATATCAATATTATTATGAACAATATTATTAATAACAACAATTCATATCAATATAATTAATATCAATATTATTAATAACAACAATTCATATCAAAATAATTAATATGAATGTTATTAACAACAATTAATATCAATATTATTAACAACAATATTATTAATAACAATTAACAACAATATAATTAATATCAATATTATTATCAACAATTCATATCAATATTATTATTATAAATAATAATATGTCCAATATGCAAACTGCTGTCTGAAGGTGTTTATATTGTTGTACTCCATTACATACTCTAATACTCCATTACATACACTAATACTCCATTACAGACTCTAATACTCCATTACATACTCTAATACTCCATTACAGACTCTAATACTCCAATACTCCATTACATACTCTAATACTCCATTACAGACACTAATACTCCATTACATACTCTAATACTCCATTACAGACTCTAATACTCCATTACATACTCTAATACTCCATTACATACACTAATACTCCATTACAGACTCTAATACTCCATTACATACACTAATACTCCATTACATACTCTAATACTCCATTACATACTCTAATACTCCATTACAGACTCTAATACTCCATTACATACTCTAATACTCCATTACAGACACTAATACTCCATTACAGACACTAATACTCCATTACATACTCTAATACTCCATTACATACTCTAATACTCCATTACAGACTCTAATACTCCATTACATACTCTAATACTACATTACAGACTCTAATACTACATTACAGACACTAATACTCCATTACATACTCTAATACTCCATTACAGACTCTAATACTCCATTACATACTCTAATACTCCATTACAGACACTAATACTCCATTACAGACTCTAATACTCCATTACATACTCTAATACTACATTACAGACACTAATACTCCATTACAGACACTAATACTCCATTACATACTCTAATACTCCATTACAGACACTAATACTCCATTACAGACACTAATACTCCATTACATACTCTAATACTCCATTACATACTCTAATACTCCATTACAGACACTAATACTCCATTACATACTCTAATACTCCATAACAGACACTAATACTCCATTACATACACTAATACTCCATTACATACTCTAATACTCCATTACAGACTCTAATACTCCATTACATACTCTAATACTCCATTACAGACACTAATACTCCATTACATACTCTAATACTCCATTACAGACTCTAATACTCCATTACAGACTCGAATACTACATTACAGACTCTAATACTCCATTACAGACTCTAATACTCCATTACATACTCTAATACTCCATAACAGACACTAATACTCCATTACATACTCTAATACTCCATTACAGACACTAATACTCCATTACAGACACTAATACTCCATTACAAGTAAAAATCCTGAAGTCAACCTGAAACAGCTAACGTTAGCTTATAAATGGAGTCAAAGCTAACATTAATGCTAAGCTAGTGGAACATATTGTCTGATTGTGCTGTTAGCTGGATAACGTTAGCTTGGTTGCTAACATTATTGTTGAGTGGGTAGCTTAGTTGCTAACGTTAGCTTGTAAAATGACTTCCCTGATAAAGTTACAGAAGGAAGAATGATTTGTTTTATTGATTATTATATATTATTATAATATATAATAATATATAATAATATATTATATTATATAATATATAATATAATATATTATAATATATTAATATATGAATATATTATAATATATATAATATATAATAATAATATATTATAATATATTAATATATGAATATATTATAATATATATAATATATAATAATAATATATTATAATATATTAATATATGAATATATTATAATATATTATTATTATATATTATATATATTATAATATATAATATATTATAATATATTATTATTATATATTATATATATTATAATATATAATAATAATATATAATAATATATTCATATATTAATATATTATAATATATTATTATTATATATTATATATATTATTATAATATATTATATATATTATTATAATATATTATATATATATATAATATATTATAATATATATAATAATATTATTATATAATATATTAATATATGAATATATATAATATATTCATATTATAATATATATAATATAATATAATCATATATGATGATATATATATTATTATTGTTCTCAGTTGTTTTGGCCTTTACAATCGTCCCTACATACAGCGAGTGTGTAGCTCTCCCACCGCGGGTTCGATTCCCGGAGAGCAGTCAGACCAGCTGCTGACTGTGGCTCAGTGTAAGCGGGGTCAGTGTGCGTTTAAGCTCTCAGCCGCAGTCTAATCTGATTTGTGGCTCCTATAATTAGCTGACTGGAGGAAGACTTTCCTCCCAGCAGGAGAAACCGGCTGAAGTACGTCTCTCATGGCCGCGCTGTGACGCCGCGGCTCTGAGGGGGAGCGGCCGGTCTCGGGCTGGTTCACGGGTCCAGGCTGCTCAGGAAGGAGTTTCAGGTAAGAGCAGCCGGCCTTCAGGTCCTAGTTACTAACCAGCAGCTATTTCAGGACGCAGACGTCCGTCCCAACAGGTGCCTGACTGAAAGCTAGTCACATGACCTTTTAAGGTCTGTTTATTTATCTACCTGCTATTGTACATCCAGTTCCCATGATGCTTTGTGGGCTTTAAACAGGAAGTGTAATGTTAACATGTGGGCTAAAACCCTTAATCTGTATTAGTTTACATTTAGTTAGCAGCTAATGTTAGCTGAGCTAGTGTTAGCAGCTAATGTTAGCAGCTCCTGTTAGCAGCTAATGTTAGCAGCTCCTGTTAGCAGCTAATGTTAGCAGCTAATGTTAGCAGCTAGTGTTAGCAGCTAATGTTAGCGGCTCCTGTTAGCAGCTAATGTTAGCGGCTCCTGTTAGCAGCTCCTGTTAGCAGCTAATGTTAGCAGCTCCTGTTAGCAGCTCCTGTTAGCAGCTAATGTTAGCAGCTAATGTTAGCAGCTAATGTTAACGGCTCCTGTTAGCAGCTAATGTTAGCAGCTCCTGTTAGTGGCTCCTGTTAGCAGCTAATGTTAGCAGCTCCTATTAGCAGCTAATGTTAGCGGCTCCTGTTAGCGGCTCCTGTTAGCAGCTAATGTTAGCAGCTCCTGTTAGCAGCTCCTGTTAGCAGCTCCTCCTCCAGATTACTGCGGTAATAAATAAAACCTTTAAAACGCGATGAATCTCAGGCGGGTTCTGCAGTTACAAGGAGCAGCTTTTATTTATTGATTTATTGATTGATGATTATCTGTGATTAAATATATGATGATATCTTCAGGAAGAGAACGTCTCTGAGAATATGTGCATCTTCAACAATAATAATAATAATCTTTCCCTCTCGCCCAGAGTGGCATTGAAATTCTTTATTTACTATATTAATAATATAATACTATAATATTATTAACTATAATGGAAGAAGAGTACCTTCCTACCTTTGACTGCTTTGATAAGGCAGGTTGATAAATGACTCAGATCAGAGTCCTGGTTGGTGCCGCTGTAAAAGGGAACGCCATCACAAACATTATTATTAATATTCTCACATATATTTATATATACAGATATTATATATATAAATATATATAAATATATATATATTAGATATAATATATATAATACAGATATTATATATATTATATATATAATATATATAAATATATATATATATTATATCTAATATATATATATTTATATATATATAAATATATATAAATATATATATATTAGATATAATATATATAATACAGATATTGTTCCACGGCTGACTTTAGAATACGGAGACAATATCCAACCCCCTGAAGTGACCGTACGTTGTTATACATGAACCATACGGGGGACACATTTCATGATGGACGCCCCGAACGCAGCATTGTTGTTGTTGTTGTTGTTGTTGTTTGTACTTTATGAATGCTGTGGGACGGTAAACAGAGAGGCTGGCAGAGAAATACCGGTAACAGCAGACGGGATTAATATCCGAGGTTAAACTACTTTAACGTCCTCTGTGACGGCATTTAAAACCGACAGCTAACCGTTAGCATACCGACAGCTAACCGTTAGCATACCTAATTTCTGTATTTTCCTCGGACACTTTTCTTTTTTCTGGATTTGGAGTCCGGAGTAAGCCGAGCTAGGAGACTGAAGGCTAGCAGCCACCGCTAACGAGGTTCAAAAGTCTCCTGATCTCAATATTTTAGTATCTCAACATAATAATAATAATAATAATAATAATAATGACTTTAAGATACTAAGTCAATATTTTGAGGAACTTAAATCCTTTTTGTTTGCTCACATTGGCAGAACTGGGCCTCCGTATACGATCAGGATTAAACTGATCACCAAATATTTGACAGATTCCAGTTTAATGATTTGTAAAGATTCTCATCAGTTTATCTTTTAATTCAAAGTCATTTTTCTCCTGAAACGCCATCTCATTAAAGCGGCTCATATCCTTCCTGAGCAGCTCAGAGCGGCGCTGTGGACGGAGGTGGAGTCTATAACCTGCGATGCTAAACGAATATTGATTTGGCGTAATGAAGCCTGAGTAATGTGCAGACGTTCTCCTGAAGGAGCCTCTCTAAGCACATCACGAGCCTGACTGCACTGACGGGGTGAAATGGTGCGAGCGATGTGGTTTTAAGCTGCTCCTCCACAGATGGGTCGAGCAGATTAGGGATGGCATTTTCACGCTTTTTTAAGCATCTTTCATTAAAGCGCTCCACGGTGGCGGAGGTGAACGCACCTCTTATTCTCCTCCGCTGGTGATGATACTCGAGAGGCTTCTCCTCGCTCTGATATTAAACACACTGCGAGCTTCCCGCGGTACGAAGCAACGGCTCGGAAAAGCTCAGATGACTCTTTCATCATCGCCAAGTCGAGCCCCCCAGTAGGCCTGCCCACCAAATGACACTGTAGAGCCGTTTTATCACATCAAAAAGTTATGTTAACAATTTGCATGTACAAAGTTGAATATTCAGGGAAATGTGCCGTCGTATTCTCGGCGGTACCGACTCTTTTGTGCAGATTTTCACATGAAAGGAGCGCTCGTTTGTTTTCCCCACACTGCCTCATAAATTAGCTTAGCCCGCGGGGCAAATGTCCAGAGGTTACTTAAAGACAGTGTGTTTAATTAATTGGAAAACACTCTTTTTTAATAGTTATTATCCAAGTATGAAATGCAATTCTTGTTATCTGAGCTCAAACATAATTACCACCCGTGGGATTTCTCTGGTGAGTGTGCAGAGACTTCACAGAGAGGATAATGGATGTACAGTGGTAATAAAGTACTGTACGTTATACGCTGAATATGAGCCGTCACACACTCACACACTCCAACTTTATATATATATATACAGTTATATATATATAATATAACTATATTTATATATAGTTATATATATGGTTATATATAACAGAGCCGGCTGGAACAGTTCCTATAGCCCCGATTAGACCTGAACTGCTGAGGAAAGGAGCGTCACTGCTTCCTTCACTGTCTCCTTCACTGTCTCCTTCACTGCTTCCTTCACTGCTTCCTTCACTGTCTCCTTCACTGCTTCCTTCACTGTCTCCTTCACTGCTTCCTTCACTGTCTCCTTCACTGCTTCCTTCACTGCTTCCTTCACTGCTTCCTTCACTGTCTCCTTCACTGTCTCCTTCACTGCTTCCTTCACTGCTTCCTTCACTGTCTCCTTTACTGCTTCCTTCACTGTCTCCTTCACTGTCTCCTTTACTGTCTCCTTTACTGCTTCCTTCACTGCTTCCTTCACTGTCTCCTTCACTGCTTCCTTCACTGCTTCCTTCACTGTCTCCTTCACTGCTTCCTTCACTGTCTCCTTCACTGCTTCCTTCACTGCTTCCTTCACTGTCTCCTTCACTGTCTCCTCCACTGCTTCCTTCACTGCTTCCTTCACTGTCTCCTTTACTGCTTCCTTCACTGTCTCCTTCACTGTCTCCTTTACTGTCTCCTTCACTGCTTCCTTCACTGTCTCCTTCACTGTCTCCGTTAATGTTTCAATCTTATGCTAAAAGTTAATATCTTGTTCACTTTATATTAAATCCATTACAGTGTGTGTTGTAGGAAACTCTGCTGGTTCTTTGTATAAACAATACACAAAGTCAGGAAGCAGAAATAGAAAATTAGCAATAATTAACAATAATACATGAACCTATATTAGAAAGACAATAATAAACAGTATGTCTGTTATTTATTTATTCATTTTTAAGTATTTTTATTGCCTTTATTATAGTGACATCTGAAGACGCACAGCAAAAGGCCGCAGGTCGGATTCAAACCTGGGTCGCTGCAGCAAGGACTAAGCCTTGGTACATGGGTCGCCAGCTCTACCCACTGAGCTAACCGGGCACCCGTATGTCTGTTCTAAGGAATAAAGATCTCAGTAATAAGTATAAATATCTGCAGTGATCAGTAGAGTTATATTTAAATATATCAGTTCAGGTGTGAAGGATCTAAAACGTTTTGTAGTAACAGTTTCTGCTTCACATCTTTCCTCAGAGTCAATTCAACCAGAGCAATAAAAGCTCAACCGTTAGCTTAAAGGCTAAAAGAGCTACTACGACTGTAATACATTAACCTTTACATACATTACCATTAACTCCACCTGAGGGTATAAAAAGCCAATAAACAAAAAATCATCTTTATAAATAAAAACATGCTGATTAAGAAGATTCTGAATGTAAGAAACACGGACAAAATATTTATATATAAATATATATTTCTAGTTATTTCAACTATGAACAGTTTTTAGTTTTTGAGATATTTGTATTTTTTAGCATTAACATTTAATGTGACGTCAATAAATACATAGAAATATAAATGAACGAGCACCCGGTGCTGATAATGTTGGTACAAGTATTAAACAAGTAAAATGTGTTAATATCTATAATTATGAAAACTTTTCATCAGTTTCAACTTTGTGTTGGTCTGAGACTGTAGTCTGTATATATATCTACAGTCTGTTATATATCTACAGTCTGTATATATATATCTACAGTCTGTTATATATCTACAGTCTGTATATATATATCTACAGTCTGTTATATATCTACAGTCTGTATATATATCTACAGTCTGTTATATATCTACAGTCTGTATATATATCTACAGTCTGTATATATATATCTACAGTCTGTTATATATCTACAGTCTGTATATATATATCTACAGTCTGTTATATATCTACAGTCTGTATATATATCTACAGTCTGTATATATATATCTACAGTCTGTTATATATCTACTGTAGATATACAGACCGTATATATATTTATACAGACCGTATATATATTTATACAGACTGTATATATATCTACAGTCTGTTATATATATCTACAGTCTGTTATATATCTACTGTAGATATACAGACCGTATATATATTTATACAGACTGTAGATATATATCTACAGTCTGTATATCTACAGTAGATATATAACAGACCACAGGTTTACAGGTTTATAAGTTTACTCTCACCTCCTGCCTCCAGTCTTTAAACCAGACCGGCTGCCCTACTTTGGGTCTGTGAGGATGAGATTCACCGACTGTTTCTGATTCTTTCAGACGAAGACTCTCAGTATGATGGAGGAAGATTTCCCAGAATCCCCTCCGGACGATGAGCTCCAGCGCTCCCAAACAGAGGTGATACCAGATTCACCACAAGACCTGAACCTGGACAGAGTGATCCAGGATCAACAGAGTCCAGAGAGTCTCAAACAGGACCAGGAGCAGCAGTCTAGTCTAGACCAGGTTCAGGATGATGTAGAGGATAAAACGTGTCCTCCAGATCCTCCTGAGGTTCCGACAGAGGACGACTGTGGCCGAAGCAGAGCTTCAGAGGAGTCTGATCTTCAAGTCGAACGTCACCAATCGATCTGTGATCCGGATCAGAGAGAGGATCTGGTTGGAGGTGAGCAGGAACTGATACTTTACTGCAGTGTTTTCATTACACTGAACACAATGTGACAGCACCGACTTGTTACAGACAACCAGAGAGGCTGTCACATGTCTGACAGGTAGAAACACCAATAATCAATATCTGCAGTGACGACGGGTCCTTCAGGTCGTCTGTGAGGAAAAGTTCAACAGTGAGTCTGTCTCAGTGGGTCAGAGTTTGCACCTCCAGCCTGCAACAGGAAGCAGTTGTTATAGTGTGATCACACCTTCAGTCAGAGACCTTTGGCCCTGTGCACTGCCTGCAGTCTGCAACAGCCTTCAGCCTGTAACAACCTGCAGCCTCCAGTCTTTAACCTTCAGTCTTCAGGTTGCAACCTGCAGCAACGTACAGCCTTCAGCCTGTAACAACCTGCAGCCTCCAGTCTTTAACCTTCAGTCTTCAGGTTGCAACCTGCAGCAACGTACAGCCTTTAGCCTTTAACCTGCAGCTAGCTTTAGCTTCATGAAACCACTCAGCACACTTCAGAACCTTCTGACCTGCACATTGGAGCAAGTTTGATAAATAACTAAAGTAATTTTTCTAAAATAATGCTAAAAACTCACTGGTTGAGTTTGTATTCTGTGTTCAGTGTTTCAGTCTGAAGTTATGAGTCTTCAGTTTGTACACAGCGACATTATTGTTCTGTTCACTTAAATAGGAAGTAGTCAGCGAGGCTCACAACAGTGACAGGATCAGATGTTCCTTTATTGAAGCACTGTAGGAGATTCAGACTGGCACAGTGGCACAAGGTGCAGAGAGTAAACAAAGAGAATAAAATATAATAATAAAACATATGTATTTATTATATTGTTGTCTTATTTTTGTTGATTACAGTTTTAACTGAATATCTCAGAATTAATATTTCAGTAAAAATGTGTTTTGATTCCAGTTAATCACACAGACGTGAGGATAATAAAGTTTCTTACTACTGAAAGTGAATCTTGTTTTAATAAACAAACACTAAATAACTAGCGAGTTAATCGACATCAGACATCTGACCACAGAGCTTCAGGCTAACTGGGAGCTCAAGTTTAAGATTCATTTTGTACTTTTGTTGTCCGACCCTGAAGTTAGCGTCATCCTGGTTCATTGGTAATCATTTATTAAGGTGTTCTCCAAGTAAAAAGCTAAGGTTACGCTATAGTCGAACTACACCGCGGTCACATAACTTCACTACGCTGAACTTCCAACTTATTATTAAATCTTTAATTAAAATCGTTGTAAACTTTAAGAATAATTTGAGAGAGCGAGTATAAACACGACGAGGCTGTAAAGGATAGCGAGCAGATCAGTCTCTGTGTTTTAATGTGACAACCTCTGTAATCCCAGTTAGCCACTCGTTAGCAACCGACCTTTTTAAGACGCGTACAGTCTTTAACATTCACAGGTCGAGTATTTACTGAACTGAACAAGAAAATCTCTTCAGGTTGTGTCAACCACAGACTCCGTTAGCTTAAATGCTAACTCATTTCAGGGCTTTAGGACTTTATTTCTATTGAGTAGATCCATTAAAGCTCCTCAGGCTTCTCAACTCTGTTATTAATTAATTATTTAAATTATTGAAGTTTTTGGGACTCGTATCAGAAACAGCGCCCTCTAGAGTCCCACCGCATCAAATCACTTTGGATTGTAAAGGTTGGTTTGTCTGGTTTCTCTTTCTCTGTTTAGTCTCGCCTCAGGATCTGGACCGAGCTGGGCGAGAAGGAAACTCCGACCAGGACCAGGACCTGAATACCGCCACAGCCAATCAAGAGTCAGCCGGGGATTCGGGTGGCAGCGTCCCAGCGCTGGTGATCACTCAGGCGGAGGAGGTGAGTACAGAGACAGCGGAGCCTGATGGGAAATAATATGCACATCAGGCTCTCATCTATATTCATGGGCTTCGACTGCTCCACTTTAACGCTGCGGTGCCAAATGTCTCGTCTTCCTCGCTGCCTTTGTTTCCAGCACTCACAGGTAGAGCTTTCTTCTCCGGATTTGCTGCCTTTGTTCTTTGTTTAAACGATGTCTCTGATCAAGTTCAAAGCATGGCCGTCCTGACAGCTCCTCTTCATCAATCTGTTCCTTCACAAACACTTTCTGTCTTACTTCCACTGCGAGCTCCGTTTGTGGGTTTACGGCTGTAATTATGCAGCCGTCACATCGTGGATTTAAGATGTATATTTATTTAAGAATATATTTGTTCATCGTGAACTGTTTTAAATATTCTGCTGTTTCTCAGTGATGAGATGAAGAATGAGCTCAACTTTTAATTCTTCACAGTCAACGGAGGTCTTTAAATTAGAAACCAGCAAACTCCAAAATCTGGAATCTGATATTAATTTTATAATTGAATGTTTTACACTGTTTGTTCGGCCTAAGATGGAGAATTTAAACAATAAGTCAATAAATCAGTTATCTTTCCTCAGAATCGTTGTTTATTTGATGTTATTAATGTAGTTTTTAATATTATTTATTATCACTGTACAAACACAACTTTATTCAGTGATTTTGGTGAAACTTGATCAGATTTAGTCATAATGTTTATAAATCAGTTTCCAGATTAACAAAATCAGTTTAAATAATATAATGTAATAATTTATTAACAATAACCTTATTCATCCTATCATCAGTGCAAGCTAACGTTGCTGTGCAGTAAGCTAACGGAGTACGTAACCCTGAGATGTTCTTTATTAATCTGATATCTGATGAACCAATCAGGAGTCAATAACAAGACAATGATCAATAAAACAGTAAAATCATTGATACTGAATTACAGCCTGAGACTGAATGTATGGCAGAGTGAAGGAGGAAGTTAAGCAGTTTAAATCTGCCTCTGAGGGGTTAAACATGAGAGTTTGAGCTCTCAGAGATCCCATTACCCGCCCTCCAGTGTACACGCTCACTGAGCCGAACCGCCTCCAAATAGTTTCCTCAGAACCTCTCCGGCACGCGGCGGAGGAGCACTTAAACCAAATTGACTTTACTGATCTGAATTATGAAGATACTGATATCATGCATAAAGTTATTTACCCCTCAGAAGAATTCAAATAAGTAATTCCCTCAGACGGCGATACGGGGGAACTAATATGAATGCAAATAGGATTAAGCTACTGCATTAGTGTCTGATAAACAATTTACAGGCCTGAGTGTTCACTGGGGGATACGCTCTCCAGTGCATGATGGGAAATGTGGAGATGCCAATCCGGGCAGGGAGGAGGGAGTGAGGGGGTTAACCCTCCATCCTCACCCGGTTGCAGCCGGAGCAACAACGGCGAGCGGCAGGTTGTCTGAGAGGTCATCAACAGGTTCAACGTTAGCTCTCCGTATCGTAGCGTAACGTTATTAAAAGGCTGCACATAAAGAACATAAAGAAGAAGTTATATTTTTACAACTGTGGAGCTGCTCTCTGAAGCTAGTTTCATTGATTACAATAGAAGCGTTGCAGCAGCCACTCAGACATTGCGTGTTGCATGAAGATAAAGTGTCTCAGTGTCCATTCTTACGTTCTTATGGCTGTTTATAGTTTCTATCTTATATTTTGTCCGGGGTTAATCAATAGATTTTAGCTGTAGGACGTTTCTATTAGGTCAGATCTTCGTTTTCAGTTCAACAAAGAGGACAAAGTGTAGAAAAATGTCCTCATATCCTGAAACAGAATCTTCAGATGTGCTTTAAATACGACTCTTCTTTCTTCTTCTTCATTGGTGACACGTTATACTTCTAACTGACTTCCTCACTGCCAGATCTCCTCCTCAGTGCGTTTCAATGGCGTGTGCTGAACGTGGCGTGTAGGTGTCGAGGCACTTTGATGATCCACATTGTGACAGTCAGCAGCACCAATTAAAGCCCGTTCTCACGTCATGTTGTGTTGAGGTCTTTTCCTGTTCTGCCAACAGTCGAACCCCCAAACAAACCTCAGGAGGATCTGAAAGACGACATCTTCCTGCGTGTCCTCACCATATACATACAGCAGGGATCACGCAGTGTGGAGAACCTGCTCATTAAACGCTGTACATCAGACGTGTATGCTTTTATCCATATTACTTCACTGCTCGTTCAAAGCAGAGATGTGATTGTTAATTAAAATCCGATAACACGGCGGGCAAAGACAGCTTGTTTTTATGTTTCTGTGCCGCTTCAGTTCAGTTCGGTTCTTCGTGTGCATGTTACAGTAAAAAGACGGTGAAAGATGTGGCTTAAAAACATAATTTTCATTAATGTCAACATGAAGACAACTTAGACAAACATATACAAGTGTGCAACATCTAAGCTAACCTTCCTTCCATGTTTGAATCAAAAACAACCAGGAACAAAACTAGAAGAAGATGTTTGAGATGTGATTATGAATGAAGTGTCACATATTTCAGCTCATTAATCTTATTAACACAACAAGACTCAGTGCTGCTTTATCAGGAAATAAACCTCTGCTACGTTCAGCTGCTGTCGGCTACAAACACTTTATTCAGCTTTATTGGTTTTGCTAAACTTTCTGTATAAAGTCACTGAGTTCCCGTATTTATGAAAACTTAGTTGTGTCCATTAAGTCCCAAAAAATGTCCCATTGGACAAAATCAGGTGACCTTCATCATCATGGTAAAGATAATAAATAGGTGATTAATGTTTGGTTAAATGATAAACGTGCCACAAGCTATTCAAACAGGGTAGCTGCTCAGGTGCTAATTAATAGTAGAACAGGAGCCAGAGCCTTCAGTTACCAAGCTCCTCTCCTGTGGAACCAGCTTCCAGTTGTGGTTCTGGAGGCAGACACCCTCATCACATTCAAGAGTAGGCTTAAGACATTCCTCTTTGATAAAGCTTATAG